AGAGCAAAATAATAATGGAAAACACACACACAAACCATTTTTCCCGAGCAGCCTGGAGATGTGGGGCAGGTGACCTGCTTGTGAGAGACTTGCCATGTGTTGCATGGAAAAGAGAGCTTTTGGTCCTGCAGGTCCATATGCCCTCAAGCTCCAACAATCCTCCGTCCGCTTCCCCCTTAGACTTACACACAAGCATGCTTCTCTCTATCAAAGCAGGCTGCACCCCCACCCCCGGCGCACGCTCTTGATAACTGACAGCAGCTGCATTGATGAGCACAATGCACGGGCCAAGGCAGCTCAGCTGGCCTCACTCCCCACTTGACACTGGTCTGACCTCTGGCATGTGAGTCTTCCTCCCCGAAAGATGCTCTTCCTATAGCCTGACACAGTCTGTCTATCTCCTTTACCCACACTCACACAGACAGAAGCGCGACACACACCCAGAAACGGGTGCATCCTGAGGTTAGCTGGGTCAATTAAATTCAAACCAAGGATAAATGATTTGTAAATCATGTACAGATAAGGAATTAATGGACAATAGAGTTAGCAGCAGTGCTGCTTTCATTTTCACGTAAAAAAAATACTCACAGCAAGCATCCGTAGGTGTTTCTTCCAGTGACCCATAGTAAGGAAGTAATTCTCAAGCAATCTTTATTTCATTACTGCCTTTGAAAAACCAAGTCACACTGTGCTTCACAGGTGAACATAAAATATAATACCAAAAGTTGCATAACTGGTGAAGCATTGAGAAAATAAACAAAGATTTTGAATGAAAAAGAATAAAACCATAGTTTCAAGGAGTTGTTATGTACACTTCTTGCCATATACTCATACATACTTCCATATGCGCACAAGGAGCATCAGCAGTGTATCCAGTACGAGTGAGCATGAAAGGCTTGTAATAGCTCACCTCCCTAGGGGACTGATGACACCAAGGAAACCAAACAGAAGCTGATGGTATGACAGAAGAGCTGGGGAGGGCGTGCTCATCGCTTCCCTTCCACCATTGTGCTCCTTTACAACTTTACAAAATAGCCTTTTAATTTGCTGCAGCGTCTGGGGTGTCTGAATTGTGCCAGCATCAATCACCATCATCACCAGGGCCGTAGGCACTCCGTCCCTTGGGCCCTCTCACTGAACGGCCCCTGAGGCAGATCACTCTGTCTTCCCTCATACAGGCTAGGTTTCCCAATCTGTGCGATTGCTTGCACTACCTCACAATCATGCAAACAATGTGATGCTGTTTGAACCCTAACATTTGCTCCACTCGACATCACTCACATTTTGACCAGCTTTTGATACTCCAGTGTTGTGCATGAGAGAAAAAATCTAAATACAAATTACACTGGCTTGAGCATGAGATTTCATTGGTTAGTTTTCACTGGTTTTTACTATCAAATTTCTCTTTTTCCAAAAAAAAAACAAAACAAAAGAGAATATTTATGTTACATTAATATATATATACACTCATTTTTCTATAAGGCTTCAAGATTTGGCTTGGGAAATTACCCCCATGGTAGAAAATGATATATCAAGACAGTGCCAGGGTAAAACACACTTCTCTGGGTTTGTTTTGGGGGGTTTTGTTGTTGTTTTTTTTAAGTATTTGATGTTAGTTAGTTAAAACTAGAGAAGGTACTTTGACAGAACCTGATAATAAACATTTTTTTAAACTGTCTAAAGATCAGTGCTTCATGAAACCTGGCTAGTTAGGCATGTTAGGGATAGAGCCTGATACAAAAACCTAATAATACCTCCTCCTACATAATGTTCAGTTTGGGTGCAAATGATTCAAAGAAGTGTTGGCTCAGATCTAACGGGATTTCTTACATGGTTTACTAATATACATGCATGGCTAATGGAAAGGTTCTTATATAGTGCTTGATATGTGTTGTACATGTCTTATTTACTTTTTCTAAGTCCAAGTGTTTTCTATTCAGAATTGGGCTGCAGCACTCTAACCTATCAAGGTGAACTAACAAATAGACATGCCTTCTTTATTAACAGACTGCAGTATCCTGATTGGATTAAACTTAAATTGTCCACAGAAGACAAGAAGGGCATTAGGAGAGGATTTTCATCTGCTACTAGTGTGTGTGTGTGTGTGTGTGTGTGTGTGTGTGTGTGTGTGGTGTGTGTGCTTGTAGTTTTTATTACCTTAAAGCGTTGCAGACCTATATAGGTTTTTATGTTTCTATCTATTATATTAAGTATATTGACTCTACATGTAATGAAATGTTGTATATAAAATAAAACTGACATTGACACGGACAATTATGTAGACTGAGACAGCTTCTCTTTGTTGTTCTAATAAATGTCAGCTGAGTAGTGTAAATGTTCAGTTAGGCTGTTGAGCTAAGTTTCACAACTTTGGAATTGTTGTTTTAAACTAAGCCTGTCCGTCCATATTCTCTTCTGCTTATCCTTGTCAGGGTCACGGGGTGGGGCTGAAGCCTATCCCAGCTACCGTAGGGCAAGAGGCAGGGTATAGCCTGTCCAGATCGCCAGCCTGACGCAGGGCTAACATAGACAGATGCACAATCGCACTCACATTCACACCTACGGGCAATTTAGAACCACCAAATAACCTAATCCCACTGATTGCATGTCTTTGGACTGTGGGAGGAGACGGATATCCCGCATAGAACTCACACAGACACGAAGAGAACACGCCCGCTCCACACAGATAGGTCCTGGAAAGGTGGTGGAGTGGAACTCAGGACCTTCTTGCTGTGATTTATTGAATTCATTGACAGATGGACGGTTGGCTAGAGTCCATCTCTTCTTAACTGAACTCTTGCCACATATAATCCCTGTTCTAGTGCTAAGGCCAGGCAGTTATCATGATGTCACTTATGAGCTGTTCTGACTGAACAAAGCAGACCATTAAGCACCATTCAGCATAGGTACCAAAATGGTAAAGTTATCCCGCTTCACATTAGGAATCTCTTTAATCTGCAGATATGCTTGTCATGCCTTATTGTGTGCTGCATAGTATTTTCTTTATGTCTGTCACTTCCCATTCTGCCACTGCCTAGTCAGTTTTAATTGACTTTAATTAGCATCTAGTAATTAATTTTGTTTTCTACAAATTATTTGTATGAGTGGTCCCAGTGGGTGGCCTTGTTCATCTCGTTAGGGCCAATTAGCTGCAATTAACAACCACTAATGACTTGCTTTTTTCATTCCAAAACAAACAGTGCACACCCTGGCAGATTCCAACGCTGCACAGAGACCTCTTGTGTGTATAAGTGGTGCTGGGGCCAAATGATGGGCCAGGCCTCTAATCAACACCTTCCCTGGAGAAACCAAACTCACTAAGGAAACATGTATCCAGCTTCCAGCTTCCCTCTGGTCTTTTTGTTGTCATCCACTATTACACCAAAGCTTCTGGGAGCAAACTTACTAACAGAATAAACTTATGAGAAATCTTTATTTAGTTTAACAGTTCAAAACTTGTGAAAACAAATTTATTGTTGAGTGGGTGCTTTTTGCATTTAAAATAATAATAAAAGTAATAATAATAAATCACATACTTACAGTGCCACTGAGAGATTGTCCTTTCTGCACTGTGACTACGTCTTACTTGCAATGTTTTGACGCCATCTTTGTATATGGTTCTGTGTAAAGTGTAAGGCCTGATGAGTGAATCAGCTGATAAATTCATAATTTAAAACACATCCTCTTAATTAATCAGCATTTACAGTTTATCAATAAGACCACAGTCTGAAAATAGTGATAACGATTCACGATATGCTACAAATCTGCTTTATGCACACAATTCTAGCATTAGATAGGCCTTTAAATCCCTTAATTTTAATTCCGTACATTAAGTAAATGTGTACATAGTTTGTTCACTGAATCAATAATAACCCCCTACTCCCCATCACAATTCTGATTGACTGGTTGTCAATAACTGAGATCCACATTAGTTGTGCTAAAAGCAGAATTTTAAAGTAATGACTTTAAGTGTCAAAGAAAATGTGGAGACGGTAACGTTGTAAATCAATACAGTGGACTCTGATAAAAATGACTGATAACATTACGAGTTGTAAAACGTCAGGCCGTGATGTGACCTTGCTCAAAAAGAAGAAAAAGGTCACGAGAAAATCCGAAGTGTGGCTTTAAAAACGAATTTTTTTTAAAAAAGAAGTTTTTTTTAAATCTTCAAAGAATATATTTTTTTATAGCTCAACCTACATATCGGGACATCGGATATCAGGGCCTAGCAGAACCCGAAGCTTGTATGAGAAAATGCGCTATCTTCGTCCCCAGTGTACCAACATGGTGAGATAGCATCTATAAGAGGCAGCCTATCGCCACAGATTATAACCATTAGTGTTCCCAGTCATTTCAATGCAATGAAGAATAATGCAGGGCCACAGCGTCGGTCTGTGTGAAAAGACTGTGTTGAGCACGTCCTCTCCCCACAGCCTTCTGCTGGGATAGACCTGCTGATCATTTGTCACCTGCCACTGATTCAGTCAGACTGATTCTCCGGCCTTTTCCAAAGGAAATCATTTATTCACGTGACATTATCACGGACTCTCAGCACTCTATTATACAGAGAAAATGTATATCAGTCATAAAAAAGACTATTATTGTAAAGTGAACCACTTTCCTTATTATTTTATATTATTTATTCGTAACTATAATTTCTTTTAAATTTTAGTTTGAGCTTTTCTTTTTAGTTGGCGGTGTTAACATTAGACATCCTTCACTAAAATCTGCTTTTAGAAAATGTATTTTTAACAATTTTCCAAGAAATAAAAAGGCTTTAAAACTTATTGAGGTTTCCTGTAGTTTTTACCGCCACATTTCTATTTCCTTTTATTTTATTTTGTAACCACGATGCTTCGCCTCTGTAACTTAAATAGTTGTTTGTGGCGGACTGAAATGAAATCTCCTCATCCTCCACCCCTGAAGCTGACGTCACAGGTTTGTTAATAGGCAATAGGCTGAGCTCCGCTAGGTGAGCTCATTACAGCGTCTCTCTCAGAGAGAGCTCGTCAGAGGCAAAATGGGACACATATGACCACACTAAGCGCACAGACAGCATTTTATTGTTGTTCGTTCTTCTTCTCTACTTTAGCCAACTGCGGATTTTTCGCAGTGAATGATTTTAATATTTATGAATAGCTTATTTTTTTTTATGTCCTTTCCCTCCTGAAATCGCACACCTCGGATCATCTTCACGGCCCGCTATGATCTCCAGTCAGTGATTATTATATATACATATTTTTTTTAAATACCAGTTTGTCTTCAACTGCTGATCTTTCATTTGGAGCAAAAGACTGAATTTGGATTGTTGCCCTGTGGAACAAAAAAATCAAACAAAAAAAACTACTTTTACTCTCACTGATGGCGACCTAATCGATGCGAATAATTCGGATGAGCTGGATCTTTTGGATTATATGCACTAAAGCGAATCCATATCTAGGTGAGCGGGACGGAAGAGAAGAGGAAGAGTTGATTTCGCACTCGCACACTGGAGCGGGAATAAGTCTAGACAATGCTTCAGTGTGCCAGCTGTGAAAAACCTATTCTCGATAGGTTCTTGCTCAAAGTTTTGGACAGACCGTGGCACATCAAATGCGTCCAGTGCTGCGACTGCAAATGTAGTTTGACAGAGAAGTGTTTTTCTCGAGAAGGGAAACTGTATTGCAAGAATGATTTCTTTAGGTAAGAATTGACAGTGTTTGTGGTTTAGTATTTATAGAAAAGGTTTTGGTTTTTTTTAGTCAGTTAAAAACAGGTTAAAAATGTATTCCAGTGGTTGCAACTAACCATCTGTTTTTATACAATGGACACGCCTGTCTGCTGTTATTTTATTTCCTCGTCTTATCTTTCTCTTCTCTCTTCTCGTTTAATTCTCGGTTTGCTGTCTTCTTTGAAAGTGAAGCTAACCCTAACTGCTCGTGTGATTATTATGATGGAAAATATCTTACAATTGTACCTAATATTTGTGTTTAGCCTGTTTAGTTAGATAACTGCATTTTTACTTTCTGTTCAAATCTTACAGTTGTGAAAAACTGACTGTGGTGATTTCACTGACTACAACACACTAAGTTCCCGGTAGTTTGAATGGGGACATTCATAAAAACAACACAAACTTGTCAAAACTGGGCCTAAAGTCAGAGCAGGTGTAAAGGTGTTCTCCTAGATTAAGACCAACATATCACGTCTGTGCTGAAACTTTTCCCTGACTTTGGTTCTCCCTCTTGAACAGGAAATTTGGAACCAAGTGCGCTGGATGCGCGCAGGGGATTTTACCCAGTGATCTAGTCCGCAGAGCCAAGAGCAAAGTGTTTCACCTGAACTGTTTCACCTGTGTGATGTGTAACAAACAGCTGTCCACCGGAGAGGAACTGTATATCCTGGACGAATTCAAGTTTGTTTGCAAAGAGGACTATGAAAACAACTCTGGGAAAGACACAATCCTCCTTTCAGGTGATTTTTTATTATTATGTCTTACTTGCAATGTTTTGACGCCATCTTTGTA